CTGGACTTTACAAAGAAGAGTACTGGAAAGGAGGAAACTACACAGAGAAAGAGTTCCAGAGATCTATGCAGAAGTCCTCTTGAGCCTTGGCAAATACTAAATGGGAATGTGCAGATGAAACTCCAAGAGCTAGACAAAATATCACACTGAAGAAAGAGCAATGTGTGGGGTGGGGTAGGAGGTAATTCAGGAGTGATAAGCCAAACAGTTCCTAAAGTCACGCAGAGCTGGGGAATGTTAAAGTTTCCACCAACCATAATGAAGAGATCTCACTGGACCAATCCTGGAAGGGCCAGATCTTGGTAGCACTAAACTAGCCACAGACCTAAGGCTGCTGTAGACCTGCCTTAACAAAGATACTGACCTGAGCTATCGAACGCTGTAGCCATTAGCCACCTGTGGCTAATACACACTTGAAATTAGGCTAGTCAAAACTGAAATGTCCCTGAAATATAAAATACACACCAGATTTCTGAGAATTTATAAGAAAAAAAGAATGTAAATTATCTCATGAATAGTTTTTATATATTGATTTCATGTTGAAATGATCATATTTTGCTACAATGGGTTAAATAAAATATATTTTTAAAGATAATTTTACCTTTTTTTACTTTTTTAATGTGGCTACTATTATATTTTAAGTTTTATGTGGCTTGCCTTTGTGGCTGCTAGAAGCGATATCCTAAAAGCTATAAAGGAAAATCTTGATAAACTTTATTTAATAAAAATGTAGAAGTTCTGCAAGGCAAGTGATATGGTTCGGCTGTGTCCCTATCCAAATCTCATCCTGATTTGTAGCTCCCATAATTGCTCTGTGTCGAGGGTGGGGCCCAGTGGCAGGTTACTGAATCATGGGGTGGGTTTTTCCCAGAGTGTTCAGGTGATAGTGAATAAGTCTCATGGGATCTGATGATCTCTTGCCTGCCATCAGGTAAGATACGCCTTTGCTCCACCTTCAACTTCTGCCATGATTATAAGGCCTCCTCAGCCATGTGGAACTGTGAGTCAAGTAAACCTATTTTTCTTTACGAATGACCCAGTCTCAGATGTTTCTTCAGAGTATGAAAATGGACCAATACAGCAAGAAAGACTGTGGATAAAGGCAAACAACAAATGACAGCTTCTAGAGAATATATGCAACTGATTTTAGCCAGTAATGAGTAACTTCCAAAATGAACTCAAAGCAGATACGAACATATATTTCTTCCCAAAATGGATCTATAGATTCATTATCATTAAAATTTCAACAGATTTTTCTGTAAATACTGGGAAAGCTATTTCTAAATTTACAGAGAAATGCCAAGAGCCAAGAATGAGCAAGAAGCTCTTAGGAGATGAGAGGACCCGCTCTACCAGATATCAAGACTTATTATAAACCTGGACTTTACAAGGCAGTGTGGTTTTCACAGGGGGATAGACCAAGAGAAGAATGAAACAGAAGAGTGAAATAAATCCACATGTGTATGACCAGGATTTAAGACAGAGATGGCCTTGTGAGGCAGGGCAGGAAAAATGGGCATTTCCATTGTTGTAGTAATCAACCAACTTTCTAGGGGAAAATGCCCTGATTTCTACAGCATTTGCCAGTTTCCATGCTGTCAACACTGTGGTGGGCTTCAAGCTACTAGCAATTTAACAACCCTCTCAGAAAACTCCTGAAATTTTAACCATCAACTCTCATGATCTCCAGGACACCATTCCTTTCAATAGATGCTACTTCAGACAATCAAGTATCTATTTGGATAAAATTCGTTAAGGAAAAGATGAACAACCCCATTTTCTAAACAGGCCAAAAAAATAAACAGGCCCTTCACAAAAGAGAAAATCCAGATGGACAAAAGACAATGAAAAGTAACCCAACCTCTTTAGTAATCAGAGAAATAAAAATTAAAACCACAATTAAGTACGACCACACACCTACCAGACTGGCTAACACTTAGAGACAACCAATACCATCTGTCCATGAATCTGTGAAGCAATGGTGACTCTTGTACCTTGAGGATAAAAACCAAATTTGTGCAACCACTTTGGAAGAGTTTAGCGGTCTACTAAAGTTATTAATAGATACACATATATCCTATGACCCAGCAATTCCTCTCCTAGGTAGATACTCCAGAATGCATATACAAGAATGTTCATAGCAACATTGTTAGTAATTACTCCAACCTGAAAAACACCCCAATGGCCCTCTAAAAAAGAACAGATAAACAAAGTGCTGCATATCCATGTAAAGAGCTACTAGAAAGCCATGAAAACGAATACACCTGCTGCTTCCAAAACAATGCAGTTAAATCTTACAACCATAATGATGACTGAAAGAAGTGAGACACAAAAGATCATGCTGGAGTGCATTGATTTAAGATTCAAAAATAGACAACAATCATATTTAGAAACATATAGATTTGCTATGGGGATATCTAGATTATATGGAGAAAGTACATATATATGGTTTATACATATATTTACATATAAGCAAAGGTGTCATTTCCATGAGAGGATCAAGGTCAGCTCTTGCGGGTTGGGGAAGGTAAGGACACATGGGGTGGGGTGTCAGCTTCTACGTGTTGACAAGATTCTATTTCTTAACCAGGGAAGTAGTTCCATAGTAGCAATTACATGATGCTTTGCTTTATTATTTTTCGTTATGCAGTTGCTTATGTTTTATAGGCTTCTGTGTGTTATATTTCATAATACTTTAAAACAGAACTTTCTAAAAAAGAAAGAACACCATGTAGCCAGACAGCTCAGCTGAATCAACACCGCTTTTCACTCAGTGGGATGACAGTTGCAGCCACTCACTCTTACAGTGTCAACAGCAGTATCAGCTCCCATTAGTAAACACCTACTGTGTACCAGGCACTTGCTGGTTCAATTTGCAAATTCCTACTTACATGTCTGTAAAACATCCACCATGTGCCTTCTTCTCGTCTACCCAGCATGTGGTCCATGGCCAGCAGCCCACAGCTTGATTGTCCGCAATTCCTTACAGGGATCACTGGCAAGATGAGTGTAGGAGCAAAGACAAGTCAGACCCTGAGAAGCCATTAATATGTAACTGGGAGACTCGTTTCCTTCCTTCCTTCCCGTCCTTCCCTCCCCTTTCCTCCCGTCCTTCTCCTCCCCTCCCCTTCCCTCCCCTCCCTTCCCCTCCCCTCCGCTCCCCTCCGCTCCCCTCCCCTCCCCTCCTCTCCTCTCTTCTCCCTTCCCCTTCCCTTCCTTCCTTCCTTTCTCCTCCTTCCTTCCCTCCCCCTGGAATGCCATCTAGTAGACAGCCTGAGGATCCAGCCTTCTGGACATCAAGGAAAAGGCTGAAGGAGGTCCTGTGACAAATGGCATGACTTTATGAAAACCTCCAGCTTCACAGGTTTAGTAAGTTGATGATAGTCCTTCATCATTCCTGATGGAATGCTGTGCCACTTTGATTCTTAGGTGAGCCCTAGCTGAGAGGTTTCAGCCTCTCATTTCTTCTTAAGAAATCCTGTTCTTTTTCAAATCAATATTTTATGTGTTACTTTCCCTTTCTTTCCTCATCTAATAAAAGAGAACCAAAAAAGGAAAAGTATCCCATTGGTTTGGATAAGGCATAGCTGATAAATTATGGTTTCTGCTCAGCACATATCTTTTTTCTTTCTCTACATTGGCTATGAACTAAAAAGCAGGGAGTCCCCCATTACCTGATGGGCACTCCGTTTCTTAGATAGCCTCTGGGAGCAGAGTGGCCATTCAGTCTAGGGAGAGATGAGCACCCGTGTACTCATCCCCGCTTCCGCCTGTCTTGTGCTAGGAACCACCTTCTACCTGGGCTGCTCCCAATCTCATGCCCTGCACATTGCAAGCTCAAAGCACAGGGAAACAGCAGTGCCACCTTGTCATCTCTCCTTGCTTCTCTGTTCTCTTTACCTTATGAAGAAACAAATATCCCTGAACCTTGGTCTCCTTATGTTCAATACGCCAAGCAAAATACAAACTATTGTTTTTCCTCACCTGGCACTATTTGCCCAGACTATTTGGGAAGAAACCTTGCATATCCCCAGGAACAACTGTCCCTAAATATAGTGATGTTCAGTCTTGATGGAAAATGGGACAGTTCTTATAAAGTAGCCTACGATCCACCATCTCTTGCTGGGTAAAACTACATAAATCAATTCAGGATTGGCATTCTATTTGGCTCTGACTCTTCTGAGTGTACTGTGGCATGATGATTGAAAGGACAGATTTGGAAATCAGGCGTCCTGGGTTTGGAATGGAGCTCTACTACCCACTTAGCTTCTTCGTGCCTTAGTTTTTTTAATCTGCAAAATGTAGATAACAGTAGTACTCATCTCTTGGGCTTGTTGTGAGATTAAAAGAGTTTACATTAAAAAGTGCCTCACATGTAGTATTTCTGTATATGTAGATTAGCTCTGAAAAAAGAGGCATTGTAACTCAGTAAGTAGAACACATTTTCTGGAGTTTAACTGCTGGTGTTTGAGTCTACTACTCTCCAGTTATGTAAACTTGGGCACATTTCTTAAGCACTCTGTGCTTCAGGTTCCTCATCTGTAAACTTAAAAATAAGTAACAAGATCCCCCTCAAAGGATTGTTTGCAGGACCAGATGACATCATATAGCTAAAGCACTTAGAACAATGCTAGGCACACAGAAAGTGCTAGGCAAGCTTTAACTGTCATTGATGTTATGCCCCCAGTCCATGAGCTGCTGCTGGTCATACTGTTGAATGAAGCACATTCTAAACATTTCAGGTACCATTATAGTGTGAGCTAGTATTGTTTGAATGCTATGTCCTACTGAATTCCAATGAATTTAAAGCAACAGAGACCACTTGAGCATATTCTTTCTGAAAAGCACTGTAGGGATTATGGGGTAGTAAGACACTTACTCTGCTGAAGGAATTTACCTGCAATTGAAGTCGGTAGCATGTAAATTGTTGGATAGCAACAATTTCCAGTCAAGAAAACAATCCCATTTATAATAGCATCAAAAAGAACATAATACTGGTCTCGCTTTGGCAGCACACATACTAAAATTGAAATGATATAAAGATGATTAACGGGGCCTTTGCTCAAGGATGACATGCAAATTTGTGAAGCGTTCCACTTAAAAGTTTTATTAAAAAAAGAACACAGTACTTATGGATAAATTTAACCGAGGAAGTAAAAGATCTCAATTTTATATGAAAACGATAAAACATTGGTGAAAGAAATAGAAAACTACACAAATAAGTGGAAATATATCTCATATTCATGAGTTGAAAGAATTAATATTGTTAAAAGGGCCATACTACCCAAAGAAATATACAGATTTAATGTACTCTCTATCAAAATGCCAATGTCATTTTTCACAGAAATATAAAAAGCAATTCTAAAACTCACGTGGAACTATAAAACACCCTAAATAGCCAAAACAATCTTGAGAAAGAAACAGAAAGCTAGAGGCATCACACTTCCTGATTTCAAATTAAATTACAAAGTTAGAGTTATCAAAACACTATGGTACTGGCATAAAAACTGACATGTAGACCAATGAAACAGAACAGAGAACCCAGAAATAAACGTATGCATTTATTAATTTTATAATAAATTTTCAACTAATTTTAGACAAGGCCACCAAAAATACACAATAGAGAGAGAACAGTCTTTTCAATCAATGGCATTGAGAAAACTGTATAGCACATGCAGAAGAATAAAACTGGACCCTTATCTTACACTACACACAAAATTCAACATAAAATGAATAAAAGACCTGAACATAAGACGTGAAACCATAAAATCCTAGAAGAAAATATAGTGACAAGCTCCTTGATATTGGCCTCAGCAGTGAATGTTTTAGATATCACTCCAAAAGCTCAGGCAATAAAAGCAAAAGGAAACAGGTAGAGCCCATCAAACAAAAGTTTCTGCACATCAAAAGAAACAAGAAAAGACATCCTACAGATTGAAAGAAAATATTTGTAAACCATATATCTAATAAGGGGTTAATATCTAAAATATGGAAGAAATGTAACTCAATAGCAAACAAACAATCTGAATTTAAAATATACAAAGGACTTACATAACATTTTTCCAAAGAAGATGTAAAAATGGCCAACAGATATAGGCAAAGGTGTTCAACACCATTAATCATCCGGGAAGTGCAAATCAAAACCACAATGAAGTTTTTTTTTTTGAGACGGAGTTTTGCTCTTGTTACCCAGGCTGGAGTGCAATGGCGCAATCTCGGCTCACTGCAACCTCCGCCTCCTGGGTTCAGGCAATTTTCCTGCCTCAGCCTCCTGAGTAGCTAGGATTACAGGCACGAGCCACCATGCCCAGCTAATTTTTTGTATTTTTAGTAGAGACGGGGTTTCACCATGTTGACCAGGATGGTCTCAATCTCTTGACCTCATGATCCACCCGCCTCGGCCTCCCAAAGTGCTGGGATTACAGGCTTGAGCCACCGTGCCCGGCCCACAATGAAGTATTACTTCACACCTGTTAGAATGGCCATTATCAAAAAGACAAAGATAAAAATTGTTGGTAAGGATGTGGAGCAAAGGGAAGCCTCCTACACTGTTGGTAGGAATCTAAACTGGTACAGCCATTATGGAAAACCATGAAAGTTCCTTAAAAAATAAAAATAGAATTACCATATTATCTAGCAACCCCTATGCTGGGTATAAGCCAAAAGGAAATGAAACCAGCATCTGTCTTCCACGTTCACTGCAGCATTATTCACAAGAGCCAAGATAATGGAAACAACCTATGCACCAAATGATGAATCACTGGATAAAGAAGTTGTGCTATATAGACAACGGAATTATATTCAGCATAAAAAAGGAGATACTGATATTGGCAACAACACCATGAACCTGGAGCATAATATGCTAAGTGAAATAAACTGGATACAGAAAGAAAAATACTTCATAATCTCACTCATATGTAGAATCTAAAATAAAGTCAAAAATATAGAAAGAGAGAGTAGAGTAAGTACAACAGTAGTTACCAGTGGGGAGGAAAGGGGGAGAAGTTGATAAAATGATACAAAGTTATAGTTACATAGGGATGAATAGGTCGAGGGATCTAATGTACAGCATGAGAACTATAGTTGACAATATTGTATTATATACTGAAAATTTGCTAAGATACATTTCAGGTGCTCTTACCACACACAAAAAACAAGGCAACCCAAGAGGGTGATAAATATGTTGATTTGCTGGACTGTAGTAATCATCTCACTATGGAGAGAGATATATATATATATATATATATATATATATATATATATATATATATATATATCTCAAAACATTAGGTTGTACACATAAAATATATAAAAGAAAGGAAGGAAGAAAAGAAAGAAAGAAAACGGGCCGGGTGCAGTGGCTCAAGCCTGTAATGCCAGCACTTTGGGAGGCCGAGGCAGGTGGATCATGAGGTCAAGAGATCGAGACCATCCTGGTCAACATGGTGAAACCCCGTCTCTACTAAAAATACTAAAAATCAGCTGGGCTTGGTGGCACGTGCCTGTAATCCCAGCTACTCAGGAGGCTGAGGCAGGAGAATTGCCTGAACCCAGGAGGCGGAGGTTGCGGTGAGCCGAGATCGCGCCATTGCACTCCAGCCTGGGTAACAAGAGCGAAACTCCGTCTCAAAAAAAGAAAAAAGAAAAAAAAATGAAAGAGAAAGAAAAGAAAAAAGAAAAAGAGAGGAAGGAAGGAAAGAAAGAAAGAGAAAAGAAAAAAAGAGGGAGGGAGGGAAGGAAGGAAGGAAGGAAGGAGAGATACTGCCAATTAATATCTGTATATGTTAATTATAGATAGTGCTAGATATAAGAGAAACAAAATTCCTAATCTCTGAAAGTGAGAATGGGTGTATGACACATAGGGAATCTTGCACTAAAAGATATTTCATTCAGCAAAATTCCCTATTTTCAAACGGAGCACATAACACAGAGAATCCACTGAACGACAGGGACTCTATTCTCGACCTTTGTCTTCGCTCAGTAAGCTTAGGTTATTTGCAGAGCTGTGGTAAACAAGTGGCAAGAGGCCTGCTTAAATACATAGTTTGTGCCTCATGATACTTTTTCTTTTTTTTAAAAAAAATATATATTTTATTGTGTTTTAGGTTTTTTAAACGCAAAACGAAATGGCCACTCTAAAGGGGACTGCAAGGTGAGTTTAATCACAGTGTTGTGCATGTGCCGATGGAGTTAATCTATTGGACAGGCCTCGGAAGGCTGCGACTCCCACCCCCCATCTCAGTGGTTTCATTGTGAAAACTTTTTTTTTTTTTTTTTTTTTTTTTTTTTTTTTTTTTTGAGACGGAGTTTCGCTCTTGTTACCCAGGCTGGAGTGCAATGGCACGATCTCGGCTCACCGCAACCTCCGCCTCCTGGGTTCAGGCAATTCTCCTGTCTCAGCCTCCTGAGTAGCTGGGATTACAGGCACGCGCCACCATGCCCAGCTAATTTTTTGTATTTTTGGTAGAGACGGGGTTTCACCATGTTGACCAGGATGGTCTCGATCTCTCGACCTTGTGATCCACCCGCCTCGGCCTCCCAAAGTGCTGGGATTACAGGCTTGAGCCACCGCGCCCGGCCGTGAAAACTTTTTAGTGCCTTGAGAAACCAAACAAACAAATGAAAAATACATCAATTTCCTGAAATCAGCTACCTGAAGCCACAGTTCATTATTTTTTAAAGTACGAGCAGACCCTGTCCTACAAGATGACTATGCTTAGCACCGGCTACCCCAGTGGCCAGACCCTCATTGCCTTTACCATTAGAGCTTGTAGCTTATAAGAAATCTGCTGGTGGGGCTCCAAATTTCAGAAATGAATAAAACTGTGGATGGCAGAACCAGCTTAGGTAGCCACATCAAGCACTTAGGTTGAGCCAACCTGTCTGCTGGTTGATGTCTGTCTTCCTCCCTCAGCTTACATTATGGATAAAATGTGTATTTGTGGGCCTGGCCAGGCACGTTATTCTGCAGGAAAATGTGTGTTCTTAGTTCCAGACTTGTGAACACAGTCCATTTCAAGTTGGGAGTAAAAGGAAGGATTCTGTATTAATTACAATGGCTTCCCTGTATTCCTGCAACCATCTTCTCTCCACTGGGGAACATCCATGGTTTGATGAATATAGAAAAGAGCACACTGTCTCAAGATTCCTCCCAACAACTGCCTTATGGCCAGAAACAAATTTCTCAATGTTGCAAGGAGAGAAGTCAGCAAAGAACGGAGGACAGAGGCGAGACGGACACTAATCCAAAACTCAGTGGTAGCGTCTCCCCATCTGTGTCTCAGAAAAACTGTCAAAGCCATTTAGTGTGTTCTCAGCTGTAACCCTTCCAACAGGCTGGATAGAGACCCTGCAGAGAAAGGCCACAATTTTGAATGGAAGTGACTAGCAGCTTGGGGTCTGTGACTATGCAAATTGCATTCCGTCTGGATCCAGCATCCCTTGGCAGATGGAATCAGCATTAGGTGTGACGTGCTCTGCAGGAAGCAACACTGTGGGTTTGGCCTCTTCTTTGAGCTATTTGGGCAAAAAGCCCAGAGTCGATCTAGATGTCCTCTGACAATTTTGATACTCAGGGCTGTCACTGGTGTAGCCCATCACAGGCCACTCCATTATCACCTGCTCAAGTGAGCGAGAACATGCAGGTTTGTGCCAGCTGGGAGACAGGCTACAAGCATGTCCAGTGTGGTCTGGTTTGCCATCATTGCTTGCTTGGGCAGACAGACACTTGGATTTCAAGTACTGTGCTGCCATCAAACACAGAGCCCTGACAGTTGAGGAAGGTTTTTTTTAAAAGATCTCGGCCAGGCGCAGTGGCTCAGGCCTGTAATCCCAGCACTTTAGGAGGCCAAGGCGGGTGGATCGCCTGAGATCAGGAGTTCGAGACCAGCATGGCCAACATAGTGAAACCCCGTCTCTACTAAAAATACAAAAAATTAGCTGGGTGTGGTGGTGGACACCTGTAATCCCACCTACTTGGGAGGCTGAGGCAAGATAATCACTTGAACCTGGGAGGCAGAGGTTGCAGTGAGCTGAGATTGAGCCATTGCACTCCAGCCTGGGCAACAAGAGCGAGACTCTGTCTCAAAAACATTTAATAAATA